AGGGGGGGGGGTTTTGTGTAATCCACAAATGCACAAATCTTTCTGTATGAGGAGTAGGAGTCTTTCACTTTCCCATTCCCCGTCTTCTGGTGAAACAGGCTCTCAAATCTGGGAAAGACATGCGAAGTTTTGTTTTTACTGAGATATTGAGAAGTAACATTCCCTGTTATGCCCTAGTTACCTTCAATGGCACGAACTGAAAACTGCTCCTCTCTACTATCCCAGCTAAACAATACAAAGACAGGTAAGATATCTTCTCCTCCCCGAAAATCCCAACATACTTCACTAAAACGGTCTAACCAGGTATAGTCCCCAGGCACGGGAGAGATAGTTTATATTTTGCTGTTTTTGGAAAAGGTTCTGTTGCGTGAAACAGTGGTAGTGGGTTTTTATAGTGGGTGGTCTCTAGGTGAGGTGACTATATAGGGTTTGCTGGTTGGTTTGGTTTTCGTTTTTGGTTTTTTCCTCTACCTCTTTTTGGAAGGGAAGAGAGGGGGTTTGGTTTGGGATGGATAGTGTGGGAGGTGAGATGTTGTCCTAGCGAGAGCTTGTTGGGGAATTATGCTGGTCTTTTGAAGATGTTCCCAAGTGATAATCTAGTGTGTCGATGAATTTATTGAATCGTACGCAAAACAGAGATATTGTAATGAGAGTCTCAATATACGCTCAGTTGGTTTTTTGTATACATATACATACTATTACATTTTATAATAAACTCGACCCATGATATCCCACAACTCCCGCTTCCAAAAACTGAAAAGAAAAAGACATACCACAGTCTCCGTTTTCCCATAGGGTACCGATCCAGACCATCCATAGCACATTTACAAGTACAACCTGCATTCATCCGACACAGGCAGAAGATCATCATCTTCGTACAGGAGCTTTGCCACCACCCCAAGTCTGGGGCTGCCACTCCTCACTCGGTCCCCCCTTCGCCTGCTTCCACGGATCTTCGCTCCCCTGACTCTCAGGTTTAGTCGCAGGACTCCGTCTCGTTGACTGCTCCTGAGCCTTAGAATCCACAGCCACATCTTCCCACCTCCCCCAATCCGTTTTATTCACGCCCTCGGCCCTCTCAACCTCACCCACCCCCAACAAACCCCCCTCCGCCACCTTAGGCTTCTCCAGAAAACTCCCCTTCCTCGCCCACCTCTCGTCCGCCGCCTGCGCAAGGATCTTAAGTCTCTCCCGTCGTGCACCATCCCCCTCCTGCTCCGCAATACTAGGCGCTTCTTTCCGTGTATGGCGCAGCCATTGCAGCCATTGGGGAGACACCTGGACGTCGGAGAGGTGCGCGAAGTGGGGGTATTGGACTATGCGCCGCATCTTGTGTTTGTGGGAGTTGAGGGCGTCGCGAAATTCCCAGAAGGTATTACCGTTGAGGTCGAGGCCTAGGGGTTGTTAGCTGAAGTTGGGTGGAATTGAGAGGATGAGGGAATTGGGGGTTGTAAGAGAAGGAAATGGAGGGGTACGTACCAACGAGGAATTTCTTGCGTCCTGGAACCCATCGGAGAGATTTCCATTTGTACCATGCTGTTTTTAGTGGACTTAGGGTTGGTCGGGATGTCATGGTGGTATGAATATGAAGTAGTGTGGAGGTTGTTGGCAAAGTCAACAAATACAAGTAGAAAGTTGGGAAGGCTTGAGATAAAATGTATGATGAGGCTATCAAAGCCAAAAGGCTGACTTTCCGCGATAAGCTGATTGGCTGTCTTAAGCATTTCAGCCACATTCGCTACTTCCAATACTCGGCCCGCTGTGAGATTTCGGTCCGATAAACGGAGAGATGGATTGCCATTGGGTGATTTATTTACGCGAACAACCAAATCATTCATTTCTCCTAGAAAATTAAAGTAGGTGGATACCTTACCTCTATTTTCAATGCACTTCTTTTTGTACCTCTTGGATCTGCAAGGTAGATTGGGTTAGAAAAAACCCCAAATAAACACCAACTTTACGAAGACAACTCAGTGCCAGAAAGTTCCTATCAACAAAGTCTGAAATCGAATTACATATCACTCACATTCCCTGTTGAAATATTTGTTTGTGTGAACATTATTGTGTAATATTAGTTCTGGTTCGTCGATCGGCCGGTGAAACCATACCCGAATCCTCGAGTTAACATACCCAAGACCTCTGAATGACTAGCCACCCTTAAAGAAGCGAAAAGTGAACTAAGAATGTCGAAATGCTTTGTCTTTTCCCATCGGAGAGACTGTGTGATACTTTATGTAGAGGTTGGGGAAACTTTCAGAACGTTGACAGCATTTGCTTCTATCATTTATACCTCACACAGTAAGAGATATGATCACCAACGCAAGAGGCGTAAGACAGTGAGCCGCAATCCCAGAAAAAGAATCTGGTGCGGAGATATTTTACGTAAAATCCAAATATAGATTTGAGGCTCGAGTGTTTGTAGGATCACCAGTAAGTGTTGAAAGTTTTCAGCAACAGTTGGATAGTGGATAAAGTGGGTGGGCAACTGCTTTTGATACCGATACTTATTCAAATCTCAAGGCCCCCAAACTGTTGTTGGTGGGATGAAACATTCTGGCTGTGGTCTGGCTGACGCGGACGGTAATCACCCAACTGCTGTGCCACAACCGCAGTTGTTCATGAGCCTCGTCCAGACTCTCGGGATTACGTGAAAATGCAAATCTTGCATTTGAATTCTCAAACGCAAATCGTGCGATCGAATTTGGAGATTTCGGAACGTGGAGGGCTGTTGTATTTCATAGGTTGAGTAGATAGGTAGAAAATGTAAGGTATATTTTTACAAGGTTAGCAGGATTTGTCCTCCACACACCTGTACAAATATGAAAGAATCAAGGCAGTCTGGATTTTGTCCCAAGCGGCGTCTGTCTTATACGCGCGTACGGAAAATCCTGTCTGCACAAATGGGGTAACCGTGAGCGATGGGATGTAGTGCTAATTCATTTCGACAGGTCTATCTCAGGCTCGATGATAGCCGTCACTTGAAGGCCCTCGAATGAGATTACACTCATTTTCCCCGCCATCTCTACCTACACATCCAAAAAAGAGGTGTCCCGAGCCTCACTACCAAACCCTTCTCTCCGAGAGAAACCCAAAAACACAACAAAGTTCTCACAACTTTCGACCAGTGCCCATCTCACGTGTTGAGAATTGCAGATCTTCATATATTCACATGCAGGCTCGCGCTTATATCACCTCAGACGTGAGGTTCAAGTCCATATTGGCGGGAACTCCTAGCTATGCAATATTAGTTTACCGCCAATTTATAGTAAGCATTATGGTAAGCCTCGGGGGCCACAATAATGATAATTACGAAACTGAATCTTACGGATGCACCAATGCCATACTGGATGGATGGCTCACACAACTGCCTATCCCCCACCATAAGGCAATCAGGCATGTCGTAGAGAATACTAAAGAGCTTAGAATCCCCTTAGATCCCGTTATCCTTGGGAGTAAAACTTTGTCAAACATGTCTCCATATTTCGTGTCTCTGATACTCTCTTCCTTATTCTACCCTTCACAGGCTGCCTTACAAAAATGCTGGTGGCCAGACGGAAAAACAGTCGACGGCGGTGCTGTCCCATGCAACCAAACAGGCGACGCAGCAACAGGAAAAGCCTCATCAGCATGCTGCGATCCCTTGGATTCTTGTTCGATGAGCGGATTCTGTCTAGGGAGATCAGGTTGGGCATACAGGGGAAGCTGTACCGATCAAACATGGAAATCTCCAAATTGTGCAAACCAATTCAAGCAATGTATTAATGGTAAGACCATTCAGCCAAAAAGAAGAAAAGAATATGCATGTACTTAGAGATTACAGATGATACATCGGGCCCTTATAAGACGTATGCGATCTTGCGATCCTGTGCCCAGCCAGGATATGAGTCTTTCGATTTCTGCTGTGGTGCCGGTGGTCCCAGTGATAGAGATTGGGGGAAAGATTGTTGTCAGTCATCTTTCAAACTTGGGGTCACCGGTGCAGCATTCAAACCTGGGTTTGATGCCTTATTGCAAAACCTTACAGCTGCCGCAAACTCTGCGGTGACTTCAGCAGCCCCCATTCCAACGTCTGCCCCTGAAGCTTGCCCAACCGCAGCAGCAGCAGACTCAGCAGCGAGTTCAAAAAACGATGATCTAGGAATGAAAATCGGCGTTGGTGTTGGCGTGCCGCTCGCCGTTTTGGCAGTTGGAACATTAGTCTTCTTGTTCTGGCGTGAAACGAGGAGGAATGCTCATCATTCTGAGTGGAGGAATGAGTCCGGTACGATAGCATCAGCCATGGCGTACAGGGAGGCATATGAGAACCAGCAAATCAAAAACGCAGAGAAGATCCAGAAGCAACAGTTCATTTCTCAGCAGAGAGAGGCAAGGGTTGAAGCACCAGTACAGAATCCGTCTTATGAGTTACCTAATTCTCATAGGTAGCGTCATAGGAGAGTATGGAGTAAGGAAGAATTTATGAAAGACCTTTTGGAGTATCTCTTACGCTCTCTGAACGCATTTCCCTTATGCTGCTCGGTGAGCAAGCCAAGCCACGTGGACGTCGAAACGCTGAACAAACCCCATCAAGACCTTCTTTTTTATGATGTAAGCGAAGAGAAACTCTTAGAAATTCTAGAAATCGGGCAGGGATATATCCTCCCGCGTCTCCTTGGCAAAATATTTCCAAATCTATATACATGTAAAAAGAGACACGATTGAATCAGGGGCTCGCTAAGCACAAAAATATACCTTGGCGGGATTTGGAGCGGAGGAGATGATTGGAGCGAAGCTCATAGTTGATTATATCCAGAGATTGTATCTTGAATTCTCTAGCCTCAAACCTACCATATGAGCACATCCCAATGTATCACAAGATTGCTGATAGCTCTTCACATCGTACGATCGATTCTCGGCTGATCTTAACTCACGTGGTATTTGGCACCGTTTGGAAGGATACTTGACTCTTCGGGTCCTGAAAAACTTCCTATTTTGTTCCTCCTATATCACACCTGTTGTCGCACCTTTTGAACACTAAATCAAAACGACGTTACTCAAAAGATATCTAGGTACTATTATAAATATAGATAAGTTGATTCTGCGTCTACTAGTATTTTTTATATATTTATCCGAATTTTATAGAGAAAGAAACCCGCTGTTCAAAACAATGTCTCCTCGGTACAAATTCGGAAGCTTTTTCAGGACCCGAAGAGCTTGATAAGAGTGGTTAGGCTGGTAGTTCACATCTTACTATCAGTTCAGTGCTGATCTTAATCCATTTGTAATTTAGTACTGTACCGTTCAGTGGGATACCTAATAACAATGGTTAGTGATACAAGTTTCGTTGACGTCGATCAATTAATTAGCGCTACATAGATTTGCGAAAGAAAGACGTACTGTGGCTCTTATTATCGCTCTTATTATTATTACCATTATCAATACTATTACATCCAATATCCTTCAAAACCAAAACCCCCCTCTCTTAACCTCCAAAAACAACCCCCTCCCCAAAACCCTATTTCTTCCCTTGATCAAAAGATTCCTCCACCGCATCATAACCATACAACCACCTCTTCCCCCTCCCCATCTTCCCCACCATAAAAAACATCCTGATCACTAACTCCTTAATCACACGCTGAAGACGACTACTACTAGGTTTCCTCAACGCACTACTTTCGTTTGTAAAATCCGTGATTTTCTTCACACGCTCGATCCGATGATTCTGCCATGAACGCAGAATCTCATCTGGCTCCGGATCTCCAGGCCGCTTCTTGCTAAAGATGAATGTAAATGCATAAGCGAGTGTTTCGGCGTCTTCTAGCGCGGTTGCTGCTCCTTGGCCCCCCTTTTGGTACTTGGTAAGTACTTGTTTGCAATTGGGAGTTCTGAATGATGAACTTACAGATGGTGGCATAGCATGCGCCGCATCTCCAATGACGATAACTCGTTTCTGAGGCGACAACCAGCTATCCAACCTCGGAATCGCAAATTGTCTACAAAAGGTTATCTCCTATCCCCATCGATAACCAAGAAAAAAAACATCCCACTCACGGCCAAGCCACCAAGTCCTCCCTACACTTCCCACACAACTCCCTCACCAAACCATTCCACTCCCCTCCATCCAAAAACCGCTCCCCCAACATCCCCTTCAACCCCTTCTTATCCCCCTCAAACACCTCCCACCCCCCTCTCTCCCTCTCCCGCACCTCAAACCCAGAAAAGAACCCAATCTCCGTCCCTTCATGATTCGCGGGCATAAAACCCACCGCACCTCTCTCCCCAAACAGCATATACGGCAACGCCAACCCATAATCATTGATTGTATTCCAACTCGTCCGCCATAACCATCCCCCCAATCCCCACCGTACCCGTGTAAACAGGAACACTCGTATGCGAGACAAACGGCCGAATACAAGAATGTATCCCATCAGCTCCAACCACAAAACCCCCCTCCACCTCCACCACCATCCCATTCTCAAACCCAACTCTCACACTCCCCCCCTCAGAAATCACACCCACACACCTGCACCCCCATCGAACCCCCACCATCCC